ATATCAAACACTTAGTAAAAATTTAGCAAAACTAAAGGTTTAACCATTTTGCCAAATCCAAAATGAGTTTAGACAAGTAACCTTAGTTATAACACAGGACATATCATATAAGTAAATAGTGCTGATAAAAGCATATGGGAAGTTTGCTAGGAAAATAGGGTTTTGAGCATTTTTTATTAAAATTTTAATTTTTATTGCAATTTAATTTTTGATAATATTAGATTAAAATGCAATAAAATTTAAAATTTTAATAAAAAATGCTCAGAGCCCTATTTTCCTAGTAAATCTCCTATATATTATGAAAGGCTGAAAGACTTGCAATTTTGAGATCGCCAGGCATAAAGCCAACTATATGTCTTTCTAGTAGATCTGATCCCTTTTGGATCTCTCCATGTGAAAAGGTATGCCTCCCTCAAAATAGATTTCTCAGGAAAATAGTCAAACCAATAAGGCCAATCTTTTTTCAAATCTAGTGAGAAAAAAGGGATATAAAGTATGTAAGGGTAGGTATGTGGAAGTTCAGCCAATTTTCCACAAAAAACTTTCCTGTAAAATAACGCAAAAACAAGGTATGTACAGTATATGCCAGAAGTTATATATGGGAGTGAAAGTTTCTCACTATGGACTTGTATTTAGGAATCGAAAAAAATGGCCAATATTACCCTCAGATATCTTATCATCCCCACTGGTCTCTTCATTGGAATTCCACATGATAATGTTAATCTAATGATTACAATCTCCAACGAAGCTTCAGTCAGAAATCTTCACACTCAGATTCAGCAACAGTTACCACAGCCATTCAGAAATGTTCCATTTTATCTTCGCGCATTTCGTTCTGGGCCTGTAAGATACGTTACTATGAAAGAAGAAGGGTGCTCGATTTCTGAATATTTTGATAAGAATATCACTATGGACGTTCACCATGTTTTTGTAGAAGAGGATGTATATGGTTATTATAACTAGTAATGCGAAATATTCACAAATTTATTTATTTCATAAATAATAAAGTATTGATATTGGGAGCTGTGTCTGTTACAGAGTAATGCTTACAGGCCGGCCATTATTTTTTACAAATCTGGGAAATTATGTGTATGTGCCAAATCTTCAATATAATAAAAAGTTTTCATAGTAACCATTACTCTGGAGCTGTGATCGACTTGACCAGAAGAATTTATTTCGCATACGGCCTCATAGAATAATCTCGCAGAAAAATAGATAGGCAGATAGAAACCAGTGATGTAGAACATAGTAATTTCATATATCATGGCAGAGACCTGAATTTATTCCTTGCGTGTATCAAATAAAAAATTTTTAGTACACTTTTCATAACCACTGCGTAATACAGTCTTGACATGAAGATAAGTGTTCAGGTAGATATCATGTTTAATAATTCCGAATTTTAACGTGAATACTCACGTGATTTTTAATTGTGAAGATTCTTCACGGTCGCGTCTATGATGTGATAATGTGACATAATGAATGCATATCAAATATTAAGTTATATGCTAATATTTCTCGATAAATGTCAGTTATCCATGTTTGATTTCTCAGTAAAAAACGTCACCACGATGCTAATCAGTTTTTCAGCTTTATATATGTATGGTACAGAGTCAAAGTAGATATATTAATATTAACATATTTGATCGTCATCGTCAGCGCAGTGGAAATTCTGATTTTTGTCGCAACAAAATAAGTGAAAATTGCAAGGATGGATTATGAAATAAATCTAAAATATTTTACAAAATAATAAAGCTTTGCCATATTTATCACAAAAAAGAATAAGATTTACAACGTAATAAACTTTATTTTGCTACTTTAGTCAATACAGTTTTCAGTAAAATAACATAAATGAATAGTTTAATCAGTTTCCATTGGATCATCTAAAAAGTCTGAGATATTATATCCAAGCAAATTTTCTTCTTCACCTAACAATCGAACAGGTTCTTCAGTTCCACTAGGATACATAAGTTGAACAGATTCAAAGTTCTCAGCACAGAGAACATATATATCATATTTTTTACGATCTTTTATATCCAGAGCTTCCATTCCACTACTACGAATATCAATGACTGCCTATTTATTTGCATGTTTGAGAATGGGAATATAAATACCATCTTTTTCAAACCTTTGCTGATGTTCTTGCAATTTATTTCCGTCCCTTAACAATTCAATGGCCCATTTATTCTTATTATTTACATAAAAATCGATATAACCATTTGACCCAAAGCATGATCCAGCATCTACAGAAATACAAAAGTCTTTAGATAAAACCTGCATTGAGGCACGGTAGAATTCCATCTGCCATACACGTTCAAGTAGATGGCTATCTGTGCCTCTACCTTTACTTTTTGCAATATTTTTGAATTCATTTTTGTGAATACTAAATTTATAAATTCATTGAATGTACTAGGAGGTGATTTAGATCAGCTTATTGAACCAAAATGGTTTTGAAGGTAAGTTATTCAGAGTAACAGTGCCAGAAAATCAAGCAATGCAATGTGTGATTTACTTGAACTTGTATCAACAAGTACAGTCGCGTCACAAAGTAATGCCCGATTTTTAATGTGTAATGTTATACAGTATTTATTGCCATCCTTATCCGTATTTTGATCCAAACTTTCTCATCTATTTGTTTTTTTGAGACTACA